AATTTAAGTATGCTTTATATATGTAGAAGAAAAAGTGCAACACCTTCAACGAAAAAAGTTCCCTAAAATTAAATTTTAAGCCATTTCATACTTCCACTTTATTATACTAATATTGCATACCCAAAAGTACTTGTGTAGTTAAAAAAAAATACGTATGAACAAAAATCGTGGTTAACCCCGTATTACAAAAATACAAAGCATCGGTATGTTTTATTGCTAAAGTATTTGCAGACTAAATGTCCAACCGTTTTTATAGCCAACTTGAACCTGTTTTTTGGTTTAAATGAACTTTTTAAATAAAAAAAAAATGCGCCCAACGCAAGCTGAAGAATGTGACAAAGACAGTGTCCCCTGCGCGATATGAAACACATTTGGAAACATCAACTCATTCTAATAAAACGAATGCTCTATATTCCCGATTCTTCTGCATTTATCATCTCGGCTTCAGGAAATAATTTTATAGGTATACATTACATACATTATTTTATATCGCCAGAGTTTACTGACTTTGACTCTAAAGCCGAAACGGCTTTAAAAAATTTCATTATCAAGGTTCTCTTTCTTAAATCTTGGCTAAATTTAACATTAAATTGTAAAGCATTTAATTAAAAAATTTAATTTCAGTTTCCGTAAAATTTCCTTTACGAAGAAATATTTCGGCATCTGTTCCACAAAAAAATATGTATCTAAAATGGGTATATGATTATTTAAATCTAAAAATGTATATTAAATGAAATTCAATATTTGCTTTAGAGATGAAATCGCAACCAATTTGTTTACACAACAATTGTAAGCGTATATGCAGAATGAGAATGAGAGCTTCTTCTGCTTGCATTGAGTTATGCCAGAATAGTGCCGAAAATCAATCGATTGTGCTTAAGGTGCCGGCTACTTCCAAAATGGCCGAAAATGGCACAATGCACACTCATTTTCCACCACTGATAAGAGAGCAGATTTTTTCGATAAAATAATGTAATGGGATGGTTCCCATACTATTCCCTAATAGACAAAAAAGTTTGAGAGAAAAAAAAGATGTGGCAATTTGCAAAAAATCAATTTGAAAAAAAAAATTTTTTTTGTTTATAAACAATAATTAATTATTAAGAAACAATTACTGAAGTTTAGTTCACTAGATCGATTCAGTAGATCAATATCTGCAATTTAAAAAAAAATCGTTAGAATCCTTGCTTTTTTGCGGCAGTTATAAACGATTTCATCAAAAGTTGCTATTAAGAGAGGAAAAAAGAAGCGTTCGTACTCAAAAAGAAAAAAATTCATTATTCGAAAAATTTGCATTTCTGAGCAAAAAGAAAAAATACGTGTCTCCTTAAATTGTTCAAGGAACAATCCCTGTGAGTTTTATCGCAAACTTAAATTCACTTTCCCCGGGCCTGGGTGATTTGAGATGGAATGAGCCATAAGCTTTTTACCGACATGGGCATAGTTATAATAACAATAATAGAATGGCTCTTATAAGCGTGCGCACAAGGGGAGGCACCTACAGTTTTATGCTAACTCCGTACGGCTATTATATTTTTATTAAAAGGTATTTTTCATAACAGAAATACACTCGGTAGTTTTCCATTGCCTACAGAGGGGCGACCGCTATTAGAAAAACACGTTTATTTTTTTTTATTTTTTGATGTTATGCGTCAGCTATCCACCGACGGAGCCGCCTTTCCATACTTACCATAGCATCAACTTATAAAATTGTTGTTGATAGAGAGAGAGAAGAAACGACAACCTCACTGTCATCGTGGTGGTGAGTTTTCCCACTAGATAGAACATTTCAGCTGACATGGTCTGAAATTTTACGCCGGTCTTACAAAAAGGTAGTACATACTTCGAACCACTACACCACAGACGCTTTACTGAAAAGGTCCTTCGACTCGTCGGCACCCATGGAAGGGGCTCTCACGAACAAAGTTGAAGAACCAAGTACAGAAAGACCTTTCTACTCTCGGTACGAACAACCAGCGTAGCTTTTCAATTGCAAGAGGCAATTGACGAAGTTTTTTGGTCCCGGCCTTAGTCACTTAGTTTTGTATTTTTAAGCTTGATTAGCTTATAAATCTTCCAACGATTTGAAGTCGTAGAGACATGTTGGACATGCTACTCATGTTTAAGGTAATGAAAGGTCGGCGAAAATCCTCCGGCTGAACCCTCCACGAGGGTGCCGACTGTTAATGGCCACTACAATTTAGGTTCTGTACGATGTCAGAATGGTGTCCAGCTAAAATCAGAAATCAGTGCTATGTGCTTAAGCTCCTCAATAGCTAAGTTATATGGAAATGGTTTTTGATCGTGGCCTATGGAGGTAATGGAGGAGCAAACCTCTCTAAAAAAGCTCTGGGTTGGAACAAGGTGTTAGACGACCCGTGCTGATGTTCAGCCTGGCTGGGGACCCAGATTAACAAATAGCCCAGTCTCGAACGGAGTGCTCCGGATACCTGGCGACCTCCGGTTCTATCAAGCCTTACCTGCGCACACGGACCTCTGTGCGGGCGGACCTCCATTGTCCGACACTCGTGGGACCAAAATTATGAGCGCAATTTTTAACAAAAAACAACACAACAAGGAGGACGGCCCTCCAAAAAAACCGACAGGGGTGGCTCCAATTAATGCTACAGCCTCGAGCAGGGCATTTAGCGGACCGCCAGTGACAGGAGTTAGAGGGGGCTTAAGCGGTAGGGCTGGTCCTGGTACGAGTACCATAGGAGGCAGAGGGGGGAGTGGAGGCTTGGGCAAACCGGTCTCCAACCGATTCATGGCTGGAGCTGCAGCGTCAGCTCCGCCTAGGGAAGTCAGACCCCAAAGCACACACACCTTAACCCAAGGGCGGGGTTCGGCACCTGCTTCGAAAATAACCCGGCAGGATGCTGCCGACATTCCGAGCAGCTCGAGGAAAGTTGCAAACACAGGCCTGGGGGGGGTCGGCTAAACATGTCCGCCCCTCGAAGCAGGCCTATTATGACAAAAAGACGGCCATGAGGGTCGTGAACAAGATCGGGGACCTGCCGACAGAGCAGCTCACGGAGGAGCAGGTTAGGTCACTGGAGTGGGCGAGGGGAGTAGTAGCCAGCTTGGGAAGACCGGCAGGCTCTGCTCCAAAAAGGCAGCGGTCTGCTGAACAGGCAGGGGGTGGGGTCACCAAAAGACCAAGAACAGGCGGCCATAAATACCCCACCTTCAGGGACGTAGTGAAGGGAGGCGGTGAGGTACTGGCAATCATCGACAGAGGGGAGGAGGAAGGGACTATCCCCAAAGAGAAGTGGAGGTTGGTGGAGGAAGCGATCGCCGAAATCTACCTCCAAGTCCTAGAGGAAAATCCTGGACCTCCTCCTCTCTGCCATGATTCCGGATGGTATCAGGGTAGAGCTAAACTCATCGCCTGCGAGGACCATGGGTCAGCCCAGCTCTATAGGTTGGCCGTTAGTAAGGTAGGTGAAGTTTGGCCGGGAGCCAAGCTCGAGGCCGTCAACAAGTAAGATATTCCTAGCAGACCGAGGGCTCGAGTTTGGATTCCGGCCAGACCCGCCGAGCCTGAAAGAATTGAGCGGATCTTCAGATCCTGTAATAAGGACCTGCCAAGTCATAATTTGAGGGTAGGAAAGATAGAGGAGCCAGTAGAGAATAGAAGGCAGGTGTTGCTGATCCTCAACGCCGAATCGCTAGCCCCACTGGCGCAAAAGGATTGGATGGTGAGATTCGGGTTTAATGACGCAACCATTCGAATCTACCGCAGCGACGAGCCGAGCTTGGACCTTAGTGAGGAGAGCGACAAGTCCGGCCTGCGCAGCGGTGGTGAAGAAGTGTCGCCAAGCAGCCAATGCTCATCTGACTCGGAGAGGCTATCCGGATTGGGGCCATTATTCTACGAAGAAGACCTCCTCGCCGATGACACCGAGGGTGAGGAGATCGAAGAGGCGGACGTGGATGTCACGATGGTGGAGGTAAAACGGACAGATTCTGATGAAGCTGATCCAGATCAACCTCCACCACTCTAAACTCGCGTCTGCGAACCTTGAGGTCCGCCTGGCTGCCGGTGGACTCGACGTTGCCCTCATCCAGGAACCGTGGATACACGGCAATAAAATCTGCGGACTTGGGATGAAGGGCTTTAAGCTTATTGCCGCACAAAATGCAGGTAAGACTCGAGCTTGCATATTAGCAAGGAACAACTTAAACATCTTCCTACTCCCACAGCTTAGTGACGGCGATCTGGTAGTGGCAAGCATTGAGCTGGACAAAACCAGCTTTTGGGTAGCCTCTGCCTACATGGCCCATGACAAGGACGTACCACCAGATGGGTTTCGGACCTTGGCCGAGGAAGCAGCCTTCAAGGACAAACCACTGGTTGCCTCCTGCGACGCTAATGCCCACAACTTGATGTGGGGGAGTACGGACACGAATGCTAGAGGTGAGTCGTTACTAGACTTCATTCTAGGGAACAAACTTAGTGTCTTGAATTTAGGCTCAGAGCCGACCTTCATAACAAAGAGTAGAGAGGAAGTTTTGGACATAACTCTGGCTTCAGACATGTTTGCCCATAAAATCAAGAGATGGAGAGTACTGAAGGAAAAATCGTATTCTGACCATCGTTATATTGAATTCGAAATAGATCTTAAGACCCCCCAAGTAAGGGAGTTCAGAAATGTTAGAAATACCGACTGGGGGGTTTACAATAATAAATTAAGGACTTTACTGCCGAAGATACCTCCCCGAGACCCCGCCACGCAGGTGGAGCTGGATGGGTTGGTTAATCAGGTTACTAAAGCCATGAATAGTTCTTTGTCAGCCGGGTGCCCGGTTGTTCGATACAGGGGAAAAAGCAAACCACCTTGGTGGTCGAAACAATTATCCTTGTTACGTGAATCTAATAGCTCAATGTTCAACAAGGCCAAAGCCACGAGAGCAGCAGAGGACTGGGAAGCCTACAAGGCTGATCTGAAAATATACAAAAAAGCAGTTAGAACTGCGAAACGTAAATCCTGGCAAAGTTACTGCAAGGGAATTGAGGAAACCACGGAAGCGGCCAGATTAAGAAGAATTCTCGCAAAGTCGCCATGCAACCTTGGCTATCTCAAGGGTCAAGGGAACTCATGGACTACGACGAGCGAGGAATCTTTAGGTCTCCTCCTGGACACACACTTCCCTGGAAACAAGCCGGTGGAACCTAATGACCCCCAGAATGAAGGGGGGCTATCTGATCTGGGAAACCGACTGATTACAAACGAAAAAATTGAATGGGCTATTAAGACTTTTGGTCCTTACAAGTCACCGGGACTTGACGGAATACACCCGGTAGAGCTACAGCAATCACGGGGTACTATCTCTTCGTTCATTGTGGTTATTATAAGAAGCTGCCTTAACATGGGCTACATCCCGCTAGGCTGGAAAGAGACAAAAGTCTCCTTTATACCCAAGACGGGCAGGTCCTCTCATACCAACCCTAAGGACTTCAGACCCATCAGTCTTACGTCTTTCCTTCTCAAAATTTTAGAGAGGATAGTGGATGATTATGTACGGGGCGTGATACCAACAAGTAGGCTCTCCCCAGCGCAGCATGCCTATACGAAAGGCAAATCCACGGAAACCGCCTTGCACTCGCTCGTTGGGTTGGTGGAAAGAAGTTTATTCGACAAAGAGTACGCCCTGGTTGCCTTTGTAGACATAGAAGGCGCCTTCAACAATATTAACGCAAGCGCCATAACGGGTGCCTTAGAAGAGCTTGGAGTTGACAAGAATGTGGCGGTGCTGATCGAGTCTATACTTGTCAGCAGGACGATAACCGCTAAGCTCGGCAACACCACAATAAGCAGAAAGGTCTGTAGAGGCACTCCTCAGGGAGGGGTTCTCTCCCCTCTTCTCTGGAATCTGGCGGTGAACTCTCTGCTGGTGGCACTAGAGAGGGGGGGTTGCCATGTCACAGCATATGCTGACGATCTGGCAATTGCCGTCAAAGGCAAATACCCTAATGGAGATTCTGCGCTCTAACATGGCCACGCTTAGGAACTGGACAGAGAGTAGGGGACTCGGAGTAAACCCCGAGAAAACCGAAGCAATTCTCTTCACAAGGAAACACATTGTCTCCCCGCTAATCTTTTTGGGTGTGGAGATATCCTTGAAGGAGAATGTTAAGTATCTAGGACTCATATTAGACAGGAAACTAACGTGGAGACCTAATATAGAGGAAAGAGTAAGGAAGGCCAACGTTGCATTATACACATCAAAAAAGCGGTCGGAATCAAGTGGGGGTTAACACCTCGTATTACACACTGGCTATACACCTCGGTGGTCAGGCCAATACTCTTATATGGAATACTTGTATGGTGGCCAGCAACTCAAAAGGCAAGTTACCTAAAACTATTGAGTAAGGTCCAAAGAACAGCGTTTCTATGCATTTCGGGTGCCTTAAGGACCACCCCAAATAAGGCGCTGGAGGTGATTACCAATTTACCCGCAATAAACCTGGTGGGAAAATACGCGGCCGCCGATTCAGCGCTCAAACTAAGAAGTATGGTGCTATGGAAGGATCGGCGGTTTGGTCACGCTTCCATACTTCACACTCTGGGTAGTTACAACCAAGAAGTTGACTACTCCGCTCCCAAACCAATCTTCAATAGGCTCTTTAAGACGAGCATCCCGTCAAGAGGAGAATGGCAAACGCCAAGACCATGGAGACGGGGGGAATTGAATTTTTACACAGATGGATCCAAGCTAGACAATAGGGTTGGCTACGGAGTTTTCTCTAAGGAACTAGGATTGGAACTATCCGTCCGAATTCCGGACCACTGCAGTGTCTATCAGGCAGAAGTTTTAGCTATAAAAGAGGTGGCTGTGTACCTTAGTACACATGCCGTAACGAAAACTATGATTAATATTTTCTCGGATAGCCAGGCGGCCATTAAATCAATGAACATGGTAATGTTGAGGTCGAAGGTTGCGCAGGAATGCCTCGCAGCTCTAAACGATATTAGCACCGTGTTCAAGGTCAGCCTCATATGGGTCCCGGGACACAGAGATATTGAAGGAAACTGCAGGGCTGATGAGCTAGCCAGGAAAGGTACGAATCTACCCCTATGTGAAAACAGGGGCACTATTGGGATACCCATGGCAACCTGCAAATTAGAACTTCGAAATAGCATGATCCAAGAGGCCAAACGGTCATGGCTAGAGGAAGGCACATGTAGAACAACCAGGCTGCTTTGGCCGCAAATAGAAAAGAAAAAGACGAAAGAGTTGCTGTGCCTCTCAAGAGAGGACATTGCGACGGTCACGGCTTGTGTAACCGGTCACTGGCTATTTGGCAGGCACTCCTCAAGACTAAGAATTTTCTCCCACGAATATTGCAGAAGTTGCAGAGATGAGGAAGAGGAAGAAACCGTAGAGCACTTCTTCTGCAGCTGCCCAGCTTTGGCCAAGAGGAGAGCAAGCTTTTTAGGCAGGCCCTTCTTTAGCTCTCTTACGGAACTATCACGCGTAGGTATAAAACCGATTCTACGCTTTATAAGAGCCTCAAATTGGTTCTCTGAAGAATAGTCACCGAGGTTCCCGTGTTCTGCAGTGGTACCACAATGGACCTTCAAAAGGTCTAAGTGAGTTGGTAAATTGAACCGACTGCCACATCAACCTAACCTAACCTAACCTAAGGTAATGAAAGGTGGAGTCGACAGTTCTTCTTTTCTTATGTCGATTTCGTTTCTACCGAAAAATGCAACCTTCTCCCTTAACACCCTTTTATTAGCTTCACCTGTATGTTTGTATGTATGTATGTTTGTAACCGACTCCTTTGGACTCGATTTTGACCCACTTTAAACGGACAGATTTAATTCAAACTTTGTACACTTATCAAGAATCAACGACAATATAATAATTTCATAAATTTATCTCATTATCCTGATTAGGATCGCTAGGATTAAATAATTTCCTCACACAGCCTCTGTGTGAGAGCAAGTAAGACAATCACGCTGTCTGCGCATGCGTACCGTCTACTTACTTTCCGGCTCGAGCACTCGAGCATTAGAAAAAATTTTATTTTTAACAATAAAAAAAAAACTAAAAAACACGCTTTTAAAGCATATCAAACTAAAAAGTAAAAAATAATTCTTAATATAAGTTGAAAATAATAATGAACAAAAAATACTAGTATTATTGTGAAAAAGTGTGGGTTGCTCGATAGACGAAAAATATGGCAAAGAGCGCCCCACGCTTTTTCACAATAATACTAATATTTTTTGTTCATTATTATTTTCAACTTATATTAAGAATTATTTTTTACTTTTTAGTTTGATATGCTTTAAAAGCGTGTTTTTTAGTTTTTTTTTTATTGTTAAAAATAAAATTTTTTCTAATGCTCGAGTGCTCGAGCCGGAAAGTAAGTAGACGGTACGCATGCGCAGACAGCGTGATTGTCTTACTTGCTCTCACACAGAGGCTGTGTGAGGAAATTATTTAATCCTAGCGATCCTAATCAGGATAATGAGATAAATTTATGAAATTATTATATTGTCGTTGATTCTTGATAAGTGTACAAAGTTTGAATTAAATCTGTCCGTTTAAAGTGGGTCAAAATCGAGTCCAAAGGAGTCGGTTACAAACATACATACATACAAACATACAGGTGAAGCTAATAAAAGGGTGTTAAGGGAGAAGGTTGCATTTTTCGGTAGAAACGAAATCGACATAAGAAAAGAAGAACTGTCGACTCCACCTTTCATTACCTTAGGTTAGGTTAGGTTAGGTTGATGTGGCAGTCGGTTCAATTTACCAACTCACTTAGACCTTTTGAAGGTCCATTGTGGTACCACTGCAGAACACGGGAACCTCGGTGACTATTCTTCAGAGAACCAATTTGAGGCTCTTATAAAGCGTAGAATCGGTTTTATACCTACGCGTGATAGTTCCGTAAGAGAGCTAAAGAAGGGCCTGCCTAAAAAGCTTGCTCTCCTCTTGGCCAAAGCTGGGCAGCTGCAGAAGAAGTGCTCTACGGTTTCTTCCTCTTCCTCATCTCTGCAACTTCTGCAATATTCGTGGGAGAAAATTCTTAGTCTTGAGGAGTGCCTGCCAAATAGCCAGTGACCGGTTACACAAGCCGTGACCGTCGCAATGTCCTCTCTTGAGAGGCACAGCAACTCTTTCGTCTTTTTCTTTTCTATTTGCGGCCAAAGCAGCCTGGTTGTTCTACATGTGCCTTCCTCTAGCCATGACCGTTTGGCCTCTTGGATCATGCTATTTCGAAGTTCTAATTTGCAGGTTGC